TATTGGCCGGGATGTTAAATAAAAAACACTCTTTTGACTTTTTGTCGAGCTTTCGGAATGATTTTATTCCTTTTTCAAGACATAGTCGTTGATATTATTTTTGTAAGCATTGAACACTCAACATTTATACAACACATTAAAATATACAATTATGTATTATATAATTATATATATATATATATATATATATATATATATATATATATATATATATATATATATATTGTTATGATGTGTTGTTGTTGTATGAGCAATGAGTAAATTTGAATGATATAATGTAAGTATAGGGTTTTTTTCGCGGTTCTCAAAGAATTAGTTTGTAAGTACTTTTTAAAATTATCTTTATTATAAATATTATGAAACAAACCTATCTATCTAATATAAGCAATATCAATTTAAAACAATCTATCTAAAATTTGAAATTCTTACAATTATTAAATTATTAACAAAATTTGGTACCTTCTTTCACTGAACGCCTAAAGTTTTTCCAAATTAAAGTTATTATCACCACTCGATATCTTCTTACTAAGCCTTGGTTATCCAACTATGTTAATATCTTCCTTCTTAATTATCTCCACTCACCATATAAATATATATTTAACTCCTTGTAATTTCCATATACTTAATGTACTTTGAAATATACTGGATCTTGTGGTTGTATTATTGAATGCTTATTTCAATGAATTAACTTCAAAACTGTCACTATATTACTGTAGTAATAATTAATCTCCAACTGTATTTAACTTAATAATTCATTTAACTTAATCACTGCCTTCTTCTAGCATTGAATAATCTCTTCATAACCTCATAAATAACTGACTTAATAATCCTTAAATTGTTATAACTAACTCCTCAATAATAATCTAATAACTGATTTAATATCTTCTAACTAACTTACTTAACTCAATTAATAATCTTCTTGTAACTAAATTCTTGAATTATAACTTTACTAACTGATAACTGATAACTGAACTGGTAACTGAACTGAACTCATAACTGACTGACTAAACTCTAACTCATAACTGACTGACCTATGACCAAATTACATGGCTTTTTATATGTTTTCATGGTTTCCAGAATATTCTAGCAAACAAATAATGTTTGAATCATTCTATTTTTTCTATTTGAAAATTCTGGAATGATTTCTTGTCTATTATGTACTATGTATACAGTCCCATTGACATTTCTAGAGTTTTCTATCTATAATTTACTTGACTTTAGGCTCTCCAGATCAGAACTACACTATTATATGTAACTTAAGAATTTATATGAACTATATTTTTACAATTTTACATCCACAATTATATTCTAAATTAACATTTCAAAAATAAATACCTTTTTGACTTTGACACTACAGTGTATGTTTGGTTGCATATGCTGACTCAAAAATATCTAATATTAAATAAAATAAAAAAAAATCCTAAACTTAATTCTTATGCTAAATTCTTAAAAATACCCTCATATAATTATTTTTTTATAATATTATCCAGTATACAACACTCAAATTATGTCTCTAACCACTATTTAAATAAGTCCACTAATCAACACTGTATATCTGGTTGTATATATTTCTAAGTTAATTTATTGTATTTCTGTTTTCAATATAATATATATATATATATATATATATATATATATATATATATATAACCTAGAGCTAAGATTAATATTATTACTAAAATTAATATCAAACTCACCAGTCTTCCGGGTTGAACCGCGTCGATATCCATTTTGCCGAGCGCATCCTCTCTGATGCCTTCCTCAGTGCTTCCGAGGTCTCAGTCTCCCGAGCCCCCAGACACTACTACACTGTTCACTGATCACTACGCTATCACTACTACATACACGTATTAGTATAAAGTTTATTTAGATACGGGATAGCGACAATAAACGAAATTTTTAAATTTTGTCATATTACATAAAGTAAGATTTAAACGATAAAATTTAATTGTTTTATTATATGAGATGAGACATGCACAGTGAGACTAAAAATTTATCTATTTATCAAACATAAAAATCATATTTCTGGTTCATTGTACTTTTAAATTCCTTTGGCTATTGACAGAAATTTAAATTTATACTCAATAAAAAGCTAAACGCTTATTATGTTGACCATCCTCGTATCTGCAAATTCCAACTTGCCAACTTAAAATATCACAGCGCACAAGCATATTAGCCGAGGTGTGTCCAGTGTGACCATATTTAGTAGAAAACCACTTTTTTCGTAGATTTTCGACATAAATTAAAAATGTTCAGTAAAAAAAATTGCTCTTCCAAACGTCTTCATAATCTTTTAGTCCCCCAATACATTTCTTAGCATACTCCGTTCTCAGATGTTCAGCATAAGTCCCCTACTTACTTAAAATTTTCCTGATATAATTCCTTTTATGGGGAATTCTATAATTCCTTCTAAGGAAATGAAGAGATAGGAGAATATATACATATCTACAGTGGAGTAAGTAAAGATAACAGATCTAAGAGAGGAGTCTCTATTGCCATTCGAAAAAATCTTAAAAACAATATTAAATCGTGGACTGAAGTAAATGAACAACTGATAATACTGGAAATAAAAAAGAATGGGCACAACATCGTAATTGTCGGAGTGTATGCCCCAAATGAAAGTGCAGATCCAGAAAGTAAAGACGATTTCTACAACAAGATGAATGAAATACTCTCTGTAATTAAAGGAAACTGTGAAATCTTTATACTAGGAGATTTAAACGGCAGAGTAGGGAGAGTCGAAAATAACAGAGTCGTAGGAAGATATGGAGTACAAATAACCAATGACAAGGGAATGCGTCTTAGAGATTTTTGTGAAACAATGTTTCTCAAAATTATGAATGGATTTTTTCAACATAGAGACATCCACAAATTTACACGGATACAATCTACTAGAAATCTGCGCTTGATAATCGACTATGTAATCCAACGTCAAACTTCCCAGCTGAAAACAACTGACGTAATGGTATACTGTGGATCAGAATGTAGATCCGACCATCGTTTAGTTATAGCCAACGTGATATTTAACTATCGCAAAAACAATAACCCATAATTTACAGAATATAGAAAAAGGGCAAGAAGTAACATCCCCTAAGTATAACCTAGAAAGCTTAAAAGAAGATTCAACGAAATTTCTTTACAAATTACGACTGGCCACAAAACTACAAAATGTGGATTGAGAAAATGTATCAGCGGAAGAATTGTACCAGCAACTTAAAAAATGCATTCATGTGGCTGCAAGTGAAGCTTTGGGTTATAAAGACAAACATAAAAGAAAAAACCAAGAATGGTGGTCGGAGAATATGCAAACGTTAGTCAACAAGAAGAAAACTGCTTATCAGAAATGGATGTCAACGAGAAATAAGGAAGATTACGAGTTATATCAAAAATTAAATCGAGATGTAAAAAGAGAAGTAGTGAAAAGTAAAAATGAGTGGGATCGAAGATGTGCAGAGGTGGATAGGTATATGGGTGGAACAAGAGTTGGGCAAGCTTGGAAGGTGATAAAGTCTCTCCGGAGAGAAGGAAAGGAAAAATCTAACTTACAGTTAATAGATCTGAAACAGTGGAAACATAATTATGAGGTCTTACTGACAGAGGATAGATGTAAATTCCAAGAGAGCAAAATGGAAGAAATATCCGAATACACACAAATAATTGAAATAACAACCGGGGAGTTAAACGATGTCCTTAAAATATCGAAAAATGGTAAAGCAGCAGGACCTGGAGACATTCCAATTGAGTTGGTAAAGTATGGGCCAAAAATATTACATGAGATGTTGGTTCAACTATTTAACAAATGCTTAAAAGGACAAAATATCTCTGACGATTGGAATATTGGATAAATCAGCTCAATATTCAAGAAAGAGGATAAACGCAAATGCTCTAATTATAGGATAATAACTTTTACCAGCTCAGTGGGGAGGTTGTACGGTCGAATAATAAAAGAAAGAATAGAATCAGAATAAAAAGACATAGAAGAACAAAATGGATTTCGTGCAGGAAGATCGTGCACTGATGGTATATTCGTTCTTCAGCAGGTAATCGAAAAACGGAAGGCAACGAATCTATCTACCCACCTACTGTTTGTAGATTTAGAGAAGGCATACGATACGGTACCTTTGAAAAAACTGTTTCAAACATTGACGAAAGTAAGTCTCAGTAGAGAGTATGTGAATGCTATCGCAAATATATACAAAAATGCAAGAAGTGTCGTTAAAGAAGGAAACTTTATATCTGAATCATTTCCAATAACAAAGAGGCTTAAACAAGGACGTTGTCTATCTCCGACCTTATTTAAAATATATATTCAATCATCGCTAAAGCAGTGAAGGAAACAAGTATCCGAAATGGAAGTAGACATAGGCGATGGTACATGTCTAACAACTTTATTTTTCGCAGATGATCAGGTACTCATAGCGAATGATGAGGAAGACATGGACTACATGTTTAGAAAACTAAAGAAAGAATATGAAAAATGGGGCCTCAATATGAATATGTCAAAGACAGAGTATCTTAAAATAGGAGACGACGAAGAAGATCAAGAATTAGAAATTAGAAACTAGAAATTAATCATTATGTTGTATTTCTTTACTCTGTTTGGAGTACCAGAAACTGAATTCACTACGAATTTTGACCATGATGAACGACTTGTGAAATTCATATTTTAGATTCCCTTGCCGACCAGTTCATCCATCTGTTGACTTTGCAAGTTGTAGAAAGCACAATGGTAAATATTTGAATTCAGTTTCGCTAGGTCAGAAATCTTATGATTTGTCTTGTTGTTTTTTTATTTTTTATGCCTTATGCAATATTTTTGAATTCGTATTCAGATTATTTTCATTTCTTTTAAAAATTCTTTAAAAAAATATAAAATAATTTTAGCTATAAACGAAAAAAAAAAACTTGAAAATCTAAAAGTACTGATATCGGAATAATTTATTAAAGTTTAAACACAAATTTAAAACGAGTGCTTTTAAGATGTGTACTGTTATTTGCAGATATTTTGGATGCTACCAGATGGTTACACCTACTCTTGTCATACGAGACCCAGAACTCATCAAAAATATTGCCGTTAAAGACTTTGATCACTTTATGGACCATAGACAAATGATCCCTCCAAATGCTGATCCTCTATTTGGAAAAAATCTATTTGCATTAAAAGGTAAATAACGAGAAGTATATATTTATAAATAATGAATTTTATGTCACCAATGATATCTAATGAATTTAATCCGATAGGTTGAAATTTTGATTTTCAAGTGGTTGCGAAAACTACCTCCAAGTTTATTTTGAACGTTTAAGGGCCGGTTCTACATTCCAGGTATAAATTGGAGAATAGTTATTCTGAGTATAACTTATACTTGAGTTTATTCCAAGTATAACCTTTCGAGCGTTCTACATTGTGAAATCGACAGCGGAATACTTATTCTGGGTATAACCACGGAACACTAAGCTAAAACGAAATAGTAGATCTGATGTCTTCAAAATTAGTTCAAATTGTTATTGACAGCGACATTTGGCATTTGTCATAACTGTAAAATTTGTTTACAATTGAAAGGAATTGCATAATTGATTCGCTTTATCTGGTATTTTATTTACGTTTATAATATTATACTTTTGAAATTTAATATAAAATGGATAAAAAAAGATGTAAAATTTCCTTCTTAAATTTTTTGTTATCATCAACTGAGATTAGTGTTATAATATAATAACCAAAATTATGTAAATATATCTATATAGGTATACTCCACACTTTAAAAAAGTATAAATATTGGATTACAAAATAAATAATTTTAGTTAAAGAAATGTTTATATAATACAGATTCTAGAATTACAGTCTCTGTTATCAAAACATTAAAAAATGTATTGCCTTGGTAAGATTATACCTATACTAGGTATACTAGTCATATGTGTAGACGTTATTACATTACATACATATCCTAAAATTTTAGAATTGAAATAATAAATGCTTTCTTTTTCCTTTGGATTGCCTAATAAAATTTCCTTTGGATTTACAATCTAAAATGTTTGTGCAATATCAAAAATTTTATTTTATATATAAAAACAAACAAAGTGAGGTTAAAATATTACAGATTTGACAACCCCTGACTGACCAATAGAAATGCAGTATAAATTTATACTCGGTATATCTGCTAAACTTTGAAGGGATAAAGTTATTCTACGGATATACTCCGATTATCTTATTCCTAGTTTATTCTTTGTTTGTAGAACACCATTAATGAAGTTATTCCAAGTATAACTTTATTCTCAGTATATACTAGCATTGTAGAACCGGCCCTAAATATGACATATTAGGGGATAAATATGGTAGTGCCTTTACTGGTACGCTATCTATAATTTCTGGCATCTACTTGCTTAAACAAATTGGGTTCACTAATTTATTTTTATTTTTTATTAAAGGTCAAATATGGCGAGATACGAGACCGATTCTGAGTCCAACCTTTACCAGCAGCAAAATGCGAGCCATGTTCATTCTGATGAGCGAATGCGGCGATAACTTCGTCAAGTATTTTCTGAACAAAAATGAAGAGACCACCGAACTGGAAATGAAGGATACTTTTAGACGATTCACGAACGATGTTATTGCTACGACTGCTTTTGGCGTTAAAACAGATTCTTTGAAGGACAGAGATAATGAATTCTTTGCTATGGGAACGAGAGCTGTAGATTTTGGGTTCTGGCGAAGTCTCAAGTTTTTTGGCTACTTTCTTATACCGAAAATTTTAGCAGTAAGTATTATTCACATAGGTCTGTAACAAAAAAGTTGTTTGAATAATTTGAACCAATTCGGACGTCAGGATTTTCATGAAATACGAATGAAGATTTAACTCATTTCCCCTTATGTTAGCTAGACAAACTGCAAATTGCCTTACATGTAGAATTACCTACTGTAAACCTATCTCCTTATTACGTGCGGGTGCATAGAACATCAAGTGTGCCTTGGTAGCTGACATATGACATGTATACTATATCAGTATGTTAGTACCTACACAATTTTGTTCGTAAATATCAACTCGGTTTCTTTTCGACAATTTCTTCTAAATTGTGTAATGTGACTAGTATAATTGTCTTGCAAGTGACTCTTTTTATTTTATCTATGAAAAATAAACAGTGTTACGAAAACAACCCAATATACCATCATTTGTGAAGCAAAAAGACTTTAGACTCCTCATAAAGTTTGCAGAATATTTTAATAATCTTCGAAACTAGGTTAATGGTTACAAGAAAAGTTTTGACTTTGGGGAACTTGTGGTCTGGCAAGAACTAAGGAATCATAGTCACGACGCATAGTCACTTCTGCTCGTGTGATGTTAAAGGATTCAACTCAGCAAGTAAGCAATTTAATGGAACCCAGCCTGTGAGATGTGGCGATCCCTTAGAATGAGGTTCGGGTGTAACAATTTATTGGAGCAAGGTGAATTAATTCTTGTGTAAACACGAATTTCTTTACCGTGCTCCAATGATTGAGACTATCGCGTTTTCCCCTACAGCACTCTGGTGCCCGATAGCGGCACAATTATTAGCCAAATGCTCTTCATGTGAGAGTCTTGCTTAAGAGAACTTCAACATGGTAACCTATTCTATTTCATTTCAGGCTAGTGTTACGCGCTTTAATCGTTATTCTTTTGGGTTCAACTGAAAATTAAAGCATTCCATTTAATACCCAAATCTTCCCTCAGCTATTTGTTTTGTTCTTTATGATACAGAAACACGTGTGCTAAAACCCTCTGTTAAAAGAGATACCAGATTTACATAAAGGTGAATTACAACCTCAGGGCAATCAGGACTCAATATCTGACTTTAAAGGTAACAATTAATCAAATTTATTTTGAAAAATGCATTACTATCTGCAGTGCCTTTTTCTTGGTTCAGATATCGTGTAAGGAATATTGTGACTTACTTTACCGAAAAAGAAAATCTACTTTATTGTAGTGACATTACAGATTTGATGGTTCAATTTAAAATGTAGTATGACTCCGCTCAATAGCGCTTCTTTATCGACTTATCGAAGCACAACTTAAAGAAGTATTATTCCATAATAGTGGTTTTTAACCTTCTATTCTTGTTGAACATTTTATTATTGAAAGAGGTCTATGAAAACTTGAAGACGATTTTTCAAAAACTTAAATATAAAGATCACGGCTGACAAATGGGAGGTAATTTAAATGTCTTGTGTATACTGCCTGGGCAACAAAATGGTTACCCCAATTTTTTTATGTCCGTAGCACAATGAATACCAAAAAAATTACTGGCCAATGGTGAATTTCAAGTAAAATAATCTTACGATTGGACAAAACAATATTTTGCAAGAGAGTTACTCTGTTGGTTTTCTCCCAAAAGAGGAAGAATATTTTATGTACTTGGTTAAAAAGTTTCCAGGATTCACGGAGGTGAAATTAAAAAAATGTATATCTGTTAAGACCGATATTAGAATACTTACAGATACTTATACCGATACTAGAATAAAAGTTTCCAGGCTTCACGGAGGTAAAATTAAAAAAACGTATATTTGTTAAGACCGATATTAGAATACTTATCAGTGAATTAAGATATTTTTAATATCGTGGCAGATTTTCAAAGAGGAGACAAACCACCTAGGAACTTCTTTTAAACTAAAAGAACTCCACGACGGTACGAACAGGTTAAAAAACGGGAAAGCTGCAGATGTGGATATATGCAGTGAACAAATAAATCATCTAGGTCAAGAGGCCAAAAACTGGATCTGGCAACTTCATAACACGTTCTGCAAAACCTGCGAAATTCCAAAATTATAGGGGAAATCTAAAGTAATAGCCTTGTTAAAACTAGGAAAGGACCCAGAAAATCCCAGTAGGTACACACCTTTTTTGTTGTTTTACTTTTTCAAACTGTACAAAGACTCATACTCGCCAGAATAGAAAAAAATCTAGACAAGCCGACAGACCCGGCAAATATTGCACCCGTCCAGTCCTCGAAACTAACAGAACACATTAAAGAGGGCTTTGAGGAAAAACTCAAACAACTCTAACAGGGGCTGTTTTCGTAGATTTGACAGTAGCCTATGATACAGTAAGGCACAAAACATTACTCCGCAAATTATATTACATTCTCAATGAACACCATCTGGGTAAAGTTGTATATTGCTTACTTCAAAACAAATGTTTTTCGTTATGCTCAAGGGTAAAATAAGCAGGTGAAGAGTTTGGCAAAAATACGGCCTCCCACAGGGAAGTATTTTAGCGTAAATGCTCCTCAATATATAAACAAATGACTAATCTACGTTGACCGAAACCAAGTACTTCCTCTATGCTGACTATCATGCAATATGTGCTCCAGGAAATAGTTTTGAAGAAGTCGAGGAGAAACTCGAAACTGTCTTAAAAACAATGGCGGCGTACTAGGGAAAATTGGAGCACAACAATGATAAACTACCACTGTATCTTACGGGAAGACATTGCATACAGTATTTATAAGCAAAAATGTACCAAGAAGTGCCTCATAGTAAGGAAACGATTTTAAGTAAATTCACAAGTTTATTTAAAATAAAAAATAAATCTTTAAAATAATAAACATTACTTCACATATTTTTGTACGAAATGCATATATCTGTTTACACTAAAACCATTGGTAAAACCGGCCTATGTATTTGTGAAACAACGACACGTGTTGCAGCAAAACGAGGATTATTTTTTCATTCAGCGCATCACTAACCATATAAATCAGTTAAAGTTACCAAAACAGCTTTTCAAAATTTTTGTTTGCAGGCCTGTGTTTTTTTTTTATTTTAAATGAGGCGAATTGTTTTTTTAAAGGTATATGTTTCCATCCTTACATTTGTATATTCTGCTTTTAGTTTTTCAAAGTTACAATTTTTGGCAAAGAATTAAGTGACTTCTTTATAGAACTAATTGATAAAACAGTCAAAACTAGAGAAGAGAAAAATATTGTTCGTCCTGACATGATACACTTACTAATGGAGGCTAAAAAAGGAGTTCAACAAAAAGATGAGAAGGTTATAGATACTGGATTTGCAGTAGTAGAAGAAGCAGATTTAGGTAAGTAATTCAATTATTTTAAACAACATTGATTATTATGATATTCTGAATTAATCAATATCTGTTGAAACAAATAAACGTTTACGAGACTGGAGAAATTCCAACATCTGCAACAATGCTAAATACTTGTGGTTAATTCTCATTAAAAATAGTAAATAATTTTAAAATGACACAAGAAAATAGCTTCAGAATAATATAGGTTAAATACTCACTGCTTTTTTATTGGATAAAAATATGCGAAAGGAACTTAACACTTGTTGTGTTATTTTATTTTTTTTTTTTATACTTCAAAGTCCAATAATAATCATCTAATATATTCAACTAACAAATATAAAAATAAGGGGTGTAAAATCAAAGTCAGCAATCTCTCATAATTTTGGAAAACCGCGAAAAACTGTAGAAACTAACAAAACAATAAAACTGATAAAGAAAATTATAGAATAAAATAAAATTTGGTTTGTGATCGGATGTCCAGAAAGAGAGGCTTAAGAAATTATTTTTTTTCTTTTTTTATTACTTTAGTTAGGAGATTGCCATTTTTTTGCCGTTGCCGCCTTTGATTATACACCCCTCAAGTATTGTTCTGAAGCTATTTTCTTGTGGCATTGTAAATTAATTACTATTTATAACTGGAAATAAGCCACAATTAAAGATAAAAATACGTTTATTGACGTTTCAATTTCCAATTCGGAAATCGTTCTCAAAATACAAACAGTAAATTAAACAAATTTTGTTTTTTGTTACATAGTGAAAAAATTCTTCTAATAATTTAATTTTATCTGACTCATTTATATTGACAATTCAGACATACATTATGCATTTTAAAGTAGACGACTTTAAAATGATATTGCCAATATTGTTGAGTTGCGCTCCTGGGACGACTTTACTTATAAGATAGTTCATTCGATTACATGAAATCAACTTTAACTTGAGAATATCCGTCAGAAAAAATCATAGCATGTAATTCGTCTTTAAAAAGACAAACACATAACATGATGACAGTAAAATTCTCCTGTTAGTGATTCCATAGTAAATTATGAGGGAAAAACCAGGGAAAAAACCTCATAATACTATCCCGACATTGTAAGTATTTGTTCGTGAATTTAGTTTACCTTCAACAAACATCAAAATTCTGATTTTATATGTTACGTTATTTAAAAAATATAAACGATGTATCCTCTATATGTTACGGACTTACTAATACTGGTATTTTCTTATTAATAACTTCCTCTTTCAATATTGGTAACCAGATCCTACTACATTCTGCCGAGGAATTTGCGACACAATTGGCCTCATTTAGCATAATTAGAGCCGCTTCTTTGATTTTTCTTTTTTTACCATCCGTTTCTTTTAGGACTATATTTGAATTATTCCATTGAACCCTAGTTATTATTCCTATAATTATTCCATAAGAGAAAATTAGAGAGTGATGATTCATTGGCAACTAGAACAAGACTAAACATATCGGCTATAATGGAGTTATTAACATTATGTACTGATAATACATATTTTCAACTAAATAATGAATTCTATAAACAAAATTTTGGTCTAGCAATGGGCTCTAGTTTATCTCCATTCTTAGCCGATATATTTATGGAAGATTTTGAAGCAAATATCATTTCTAAACAAAATTTCAAACCCACAGTATGGTGGAGGTATGTAGATGATGTATTCTCAATATGGCCTCATGGATCAGAGTTGTTGGACACATTCCTAAATGATATAAACGATAAAGAAGAGACAATAACATTTACCATGGAAAAGGAATATAATAACACGCTACCTTTCCTGGATGTTTTAATCTCTAAGAACGATACTGGATATGAGACCCAGGTGTATAGAAAACCAACACACACCAATAGATATCTAAATTTCAAATCAAATCACAATATTAATGTAAAAAAGGGAATAATTAAATCCTTATACGATAGAGCCAAAATTACTTGCTCTAACGAAAATTCGTTCTTGGAGGAGAAACATTTGTTAACATCTGTTTTATTAAAAAATGATTATCCTTTATCGTTTATAAATAAGGAATTATCAACAATCGATCGAATAGAACAGAACAACTTAGAACGAGATCCTACAGCATACACAAGGAATAAATGAGGAAAATAACAATACCGTACATAAAAGGATTATCAGAAAAACTTAAAAGGATAGGAAATAAATTCAACATTTCAACAACATTCAAAACAACAAACACGTTGAGATCTATTTTGTCCAAAACCAAACCTAACAATGAACAAGAAAGGACAAAGAATTGCATTTATAAAATACCTTGTGAATGCGATCAGTTTTATTTAGGTGAATCATCAAGGCCATTAAATGTTAGAATAAGTGAACATCAATCTTATATTAAAAATAGGGAATTTGATAGATCTCAAATATGTAAACACGCATGGGATAATGAACATAGGGTTCTTTAAAATGCATAATGTATGTCTGAATACTTTAAAATGCATAATGTATGTCTGAATTGTCAATATAAATGAGTCAGATAAAATTAAATTATTAGAAGAATTTTTTCACTATGTAACAAAAAAACAAAATTTGTTTAATTTACTGTTTGTATTTTGAGAACGATTTCCGAATTGGAAATTGAAACGTCAATAAACGTATTTTTATCTTTAATTGTGGCTTATTCCCAGTTATAAATAGTAATTAACCCCTCAAGTCTAATATAAAGTATATCTTCCTCTACTTCTAATAATTAATTATCATTTGTATTAGTTGAAGACATGTTTTTTTGGTACAACATTGATCATGTTTTTTTTTCAATCTAATCTTCTATTTCACTTATATTCATATGTCCTAAATTTGATTTATAGGAAATGGTAAAGGTGCCAGAGAAATTACCAATATAGATATAGCTGCTCACGCTATGGTCTTCTTCTTCGCCGGTTTTGATGCCGTGTCTTCCTTAATGTGCTTTGTAACCTACGAATTAGCAGTAAACCCTGATGTCCAAGATAAGTTGAGAGAAGAAGTCGAAGAAACGTTGAGAGATTGTAATGGCAAGCTGACATACGAAGCTTTGTTGAAAATGAAGTACTTGGATATGGTTGTTTCAGGTAAGATTAACATTGTCAAAGATTTATTCATTTTAAAACATGAAATTTACTTTTAATTTTTTTATTCGTCTAAAATTTGGTTTTTACTCATTTTGGAACATTTACTGTTTATAAATTATTGATTTACAACACAATCAGTACTGTTCGATGGTTGGACATATTATTGTCGTTTACGCAAATAACAGAAGAGTTCAGAAAATTTACAAAAACAATATCAATCGTTGTAATGTTGATATCTATAATCCATTTTGAGCCATTTTACAAGGTTAAAGTTTATTTCTTTGTACTGGTAACCATAGAAGGTTTTTAAAGTGTACCAAACCAAATTTTTATATAAAAAAACAAAAACATAGTGGGATATATATGTCCCAATGGGAATGTTGGTTGGGATTATTATGTCCAGTAAGTTATATTGGGAGATTACGGCCACAAATAAATGAACACTTTATTCCAGAGAGATTTACAAAAATATGCATAAAAAATACTTCCATGTAACTTAATATGTGTGATATAATGTGAAACAATATTTACACAAACCTACATCGCACATTGTGCAGATGGTTGTGGTTCTTCTTTCTTTGCCGATTCTTGAGCAATCAACACAACGCCATCTCTTAGCAGTTTCAATCGGCATGTGGTCTCCTACATTTTTATTTCGCGATCTCATTGAAGGTATACCTACACTTCTTTTTCTTAGTTCTACTTGTGTAGTGGTTTTACCTTTAGAAATGAGATCTTTTGATAGCTCAAACAAAGTTTCTAAAAGGGGTGTGTTCTTGCGTGTTCGATGCAAATCATTATATATTACCCAACTATTTACCACTGACACCATAAGCAATCGGTAGAAAACTTTTGGCCACCATTTACAGGATCTTATATCAATTTCATACACTCCAGCATGTTGTATAAAGCAACAACAGCAGGACAAGGAACGTCCACTGTAGTCCCACTTTTATTTGTTGTACACTTTGAATAGTTGTACAACTACTCGTATGACAGTTAGTCAACAAGGATACTTGTTTGGTATCTTGCCATTTTGTGGCTAGGGCTTGGAACTCATTTGTTAGAAATACAGAGTCTCCCTTGTTCATTTTGCTTTTTATAGAAAACTCCTTAGCCATGTTTCGTCTATTTGTAATAGCCGTACCAACTACAGCGAATTTAATCTCCTCCAGTAGAGGTACACAGGTAAAAAACCTGTCAAAAGCCACAACAACATTATCAATACGTATCGATTCACATAGCGTTTTTACTACTCTTTTACCTAGAGTTCCATCAGCTTGTTCAACTTCCTTTCCAGAGTAAAAGTTAAAATCATATGTGTATCCTGTCTTAGAATCACACCTGCACCATAGTTTGATACCCCTTTTCACTGGTTTTAGAGGTACGTATTGTTTTAGGGACGACCGACCTTTCATCTTCACCATACTCTCAACGATCTCGGTTGATTGTCTAGTACTATCGGTTCGATACTTCTGAAATGTGAACATGAAAAAGAAGAGCAGTTCTTATATATAATATATCTTACTGCAATCTTCGGGTTTCTTTGGGCCATTGAAGTAAAGTTTGGAGATAATGAATAAGCATCTGTTTTTTGATATTGCAGTACTTATCGTTTTATTTCCGACAGATGGATGCGAAGACCAATAATGTCTCAGTGTAGACACTCTGTTGTAGCACATTATTAGAGTACAACCAATAGTAATCATTACTTCACCAGCATCAGTAAGCGGTTCAGATTTTTCTTCCTTGCGATTATGCATTTTAATTCTCTCGTTTGTACAATCCACAATAAAAATAAATAAACTTCGAAGGAATACTTTCAAGAAAATTTCTAGACGTGATGAATTCATATTAATTGATTCATCAACTACACAAGGTATTTCAGGAGGAATAGCAAATCTGGGTTTATGATCAGCTGCGACTAATGTCCATACCATAGGGAGTTCTCTCGTTCTCTCTTTCCTCGGGAAGCAAGTATTCTCGTCTCCTTCATTTTTGGGAGAATCAAATAAAGACGTATTTGATACATCTGATGAGCAAGTGTGTTCCTCTTCATTGTCTTGGAATGAGTTTCCTTTGTCCTCTTCTGAAGATATATTAGATTCTGCTTCTATGTCATCGCATGAAGATATGTCGCTTATATTATCAGCCAGTTCTTGCAACTCGTTTTGAGTAAGCTTTCTTTTTCGTGACACGCTGAAAAAAACCAATGGAATATAATAGGCCCGTCCAACAAACCCAGTGGGACACATAAATCCCATGTGATTTTTGATGTAAGTAAGATTTACAAAAGTAAACGAATCTCAGATTAACGTGTACAATCATTACATACACTAAACAACAAACTTACCTCACGAGTGTATCGAAAACAAGTTGTTTTAACTATAAAAACGTCGAAAAGTAAGAACCACGTGTTGACTGCGTCGTACTTACGAACGAACTGAGCCATCCAACGTTGCCAATATCACTTTAGTTGAGAAACATGTGCAGTGTAGTCGATAAACTCCGATATCGAAGAATATAATGTAAAACGGGACTTATTTGGAACATCAGGCAAATTGAAACTGTCGCTGGGATCTATAAGTCCCACTGGGTCCCAAAGGGTTAAAAGAAGAAAGGATATTTTGCAATTTAATAACATCAGAATTTGAATATCGTCTATCAATAATAAAATCGCCATATATACTTGAGTGATTTAAAAACGAAATTTAAAACAGATTCAAAATTTTCTAAAAAAGTATTAATATTACCGGATGGGGTAACAATTATTTATAATAATGTTATTTAATTTGTCTTTATACAAAATGCAACAAAAATCTGAATTTTTACTAGCACAAAAGTCTTAAACATTGATTTTGTTTGCTTTGAGAAGACACAAAACTAAGCTGGGGTACAGGTGCTCCTGTAGAGCTTGTACAATATTGAGACTGTTAGTGGTACACCGATATTTCTACATTTCTTCCAGTGTTGTCGATATACAGCATTTAACATTTTAGGTACTCTAATGGTTTGTTTACTCTAATTGCAGGTGATTTAATTTCCCTTTTAAATCTTATTATTTGATTCTGGTCAGCATTTTAGCGACATATCTGTGCTTCATAAATTATAGTAAAGCTATCGAACTAGTCAACTGGAGTAAAATGGGAAGATTTTCTCTAAAATGAGAGTCCCGAATTATCTAATACTGCTAATTAAAATTCTATATCGGGTAAATTCTAGTAAATAAACTCAAATATTTGGTAATTAATTAATATTGTGTATTAATTCTTAATTTACAATAAGTAAAGTTAGACAAAACAGCTTTTAAAAGTTATTCAATTATCATCATCGTCGTTAATAATAGAGATTTTTATCATCATTACTTGTATTAGATGATAAAACTTTCTGCCAAAATGACATAGCAGCATGCTGTTCGAAAATACATATATACTTAAAAGTAATTTAACATCTTTCAAATTCTCATTCTTAATTGAATGGCCTAAGGCCTCTTTATTTAAATTCCCAGATGACCATTTCTACTCCCTTTTTAAAGGGAAAGATCCGAGTAGCTGAACTTGTAACCTGCTTTGCTACCTGTTATCCCTATAAATCTCCGTTGTTTGGTCAAACAACGGAGCTAAACAGGAGAATAGGACTGGCATGGGCAGCTTACGGAAAACAGAGAGAAGTCTTTAGATCAGATATTCCCATGTGCTTGAAAAGGAAGGCTTTGATCAATGTGTACTCCCAGTTCTAACGTATGGAGCAGAAACATTGACCCTTACCATAAAAGTAGTTATTAAAATTCAAGTGTCACAGAGAGCGATGGAGAGGTAAATGCTGAATATATCCCTCAGAGATAGAGTACCCCTAAATGCTGAATATATCCCTCAGATATTCTTTGCCGTGATTGCGGTATCGTCTGCAAATCTTATGTTAATATTGATGCTCCCTCCAATCCTTACACCTTCAATTCTTCCCCATAGTGCCTCCTGAAATATTAGTTGGGAGTACACATTAAATAATTGTGGCGACAGCACACATCCCTGTCTGACTCCTCTTTGAATTTCCACCTGGTTTGTCTCACTATCTTCCACCCGTACGACCGCTGTTTGATTGTAGTACAGATTTTTGGTTAAATTAATATCCTTGGGATCTAGGTGTATGTGTTTCAATGCATGTATGAGTTTACCATGTTGGACTCTATCAAAAGCTTCTTGGAAATCTATATAACATATGAATACGTTTTTATTATATTCCCTGCATTTTTGTAATAGTACCGTCATTGCGCACAGTGCCTCTCTTGTTCCCATTCCACATCTAAATCCAAACTGTGTATTGTCTAATTGTTCTTCACATTTTTTATATATACGCTGCTGAATAACTTTGAGTAGTATTTTTAAAGTGTGGTTCATAAGGCTAATTAATCGGTACTCATCGCAAGATTTAGGATTATTTTTCTTGGGTAAGGGTAAAAAGATAGATTTTAACCATTCATCCGGGATTTTAACATCGTGGTATAAATATTTGAAAGTAAAATTTTCTCTAATTATGGATTTTTCCAAATAAAAACAGTATATCGCAAAACAGGTAAAGATGCTACGGTCAAATTGTACTAATTTTTTTTATTTTTCAGAAACCTTACGGAAATGGCCAATCGGTGCAATGGCTGACAGAATATGTACCAAACCTTACACCATCCCAGCCGCAACACCAGAAGAAAAGCCACTTCATCTTGAAAAGAACACAGTTATTCTCTTTCCCGTATGGGCGATACAAAGAGATCCGGCATTCTACGAAAACCCAATGAAGTTCGACCCTGAAAGATTCAACGACGAAAATAAGTCAAAAATCGACCCCTACACGTATCTTCCATTCGGTATTGGTCCTAGAAACTGTATAGGATCTCGATTTGCTCTATTAGAAGCAAAAGTGGTGATATTTCATCTCTTGTCCAATTTTATAATCGAACCTTCGGCAAAACTTACAGTACCACTGAAACTTTCTAGGAAGCAAATCAATGTAACAGCTGAGGGTGGTTTCTGGTTTAATTTAAAGAAGGTGAAGAAATAAAACGTACCGAGAGGTATATATGGTCCTACAATATAAACTGAGTTGCGTGTTTCAGCAGCTACTAAATTGCTCTTTGTGATCTTCACACTTCTGCGTGTGCCCTACAAAAAATTCGTTTACTAAATTTTTTTATCTGACATCACCGCTGCTTTTCAAATAATCAGAGCTACTTGTATTCAAAAATGAAACTTTCTCCTAAATAAATATATAATACTCATTATTAATTATTTAATAATTAGGTACATAAGTTTTCTAGGTGCACTTACTATATTTTTACTTTCTGTGAAGATGGTCTTTTAAAGTCCACATATCACATACATTACATACAGGAAATTTATTTAAATGTTAAGTAAGCTGTAAGTTTAGGTTAAGGTAAATGTAATGACGTTTAATGTAAATGTTATGATTGTATAATAGTTAAGAACACTTATTGTTGTTATTACGACTTTTTGCATTTATAAATTAGAATAAAAAATATTTTACAAATTTTGTTTTAATTTCCCGTAAATATCATACATAATATTTTAATTATAATTAAAATATCAAACAGAATAAGTGAAATAAAACCATATACCTGATTTTTCAATACACATGATTTCCTGTTGGAAATAGGAAGTCAACATTTCTTTCACTATTTTCAAGGTTACTTTACATTGGGTCATCAAGCTATCGGAAATACATTATTTAGAACTTCCTCTTATTTATTTTCTGTGTTAGCTTCATATTACCTCAGTCAATTATTCAGTAAATAAGAACAAATACACCTATGTTTCACAGATTAAGCAATATTTTCAAATATTAGACTATAAATTCTCTTGGGCAAACATTTCTAATTGGCTGTTAAAAAACAAAAAAAGCATATTAAAACAATAAATGGATATGCCTTATCAAGAAAATAACTATTATCCGTTCACAATTTGTTGATAGCACGAAATATGCCTTAAAGTCATCTAACGGTCGTATCATCATAGGCGTTCCTGAGGTGTTTATTCATTAAAATTAATATTAATACTTATTAATAATGTTTTAATACTAATATATTTAGCAAAAAACAATTATAACTTTCACGGCCAAAGTTGATTATTATATTATATTAATAAAAATAAGAATTTAACCATTAACAATTTTGTAAATAAGAATACCTTATCTCTTTGGATATTTCGATACTAATCTTCACGTTTAATCACTTTACTAGAAAACCTGGAATTCATATCGGAAGGTACTATTTGTTGCAAGATAAGTAGGATGGAATTCTCCAGATTTTTAATAATATAATGGGTATAGATGCCGGCTTTGGCCACGTTCTCTGTTCAGTTTATATTCGAAACTTAACTTGAAAGGGTGAAGTTATTACGAACGAAAACAATTTATTTGTTTAGTACGTTTTTGATCGCATGCAATTTACGGCTCCACGATGTTTCCGCGTCTACGGCGGTAATTAGCGTCTCGAATATTACTTTTGCGAATTATATGGAGTGCGTGAATGATTTTTTATTCCATATACCTACGAACATATACGTATCTTTCGCTCGTGCTCGTTTTGTTGGATTATTTGTGATGGCTTCATCATCAACATCATCAAGTTTTACACCTATACTGTTGCGTATAGTCAGTAAGTCTGTCTATTCACCAAGAGAGAAGACTATTGTCCTGAATGTTCACGATGCTCTGGTTTCTCAGAATCCCACAAACACTGTTCGCAACATAGTCGAAAGTTGTGCCAACATGACTTTCGTAGGGGAGTCAACTATACAAAGGTTCCTATCAGAAAGAAAAAAACCCGGTATAGCTAACCCAAACACAAACGAACACTTAAAGAGAGGGAAAAAGCCTATTGAAATTGATGAATTTGCCAAAAATGGTATTCGAAGGAAAATTTATGGATTTTTTTTTCAAAAAAGAAACACCAAACCTAAATAAAATTTTACAAGAAGTTAGAGACGATTTGCCTCATATCGGACGAACTAAATTGTGGTAAGTTTTAAAAGAATTAAATTTCCGGTGGAAGAAATCAGACCGAAAATCACTTTTGATTGACCGGGAGGAGATAATATGTTGGATAAGAAATTATCTAAGATCCATATGAAAATTCCGAGCTGAAGGAAGGCCAATCGTCTACCAGGATAAAACGTGGGTAAACTCAGGTCATACTCTAAAAAAAAAATTTGGTCAGATAAAAATATATTAAGCTCCAGGCAAGCCTTTATGGAAGGTTGGTCTACTGGTATGTCCCCAGCTTCTTGTAAAGGCAGTAGATTAATAAATTCTCACATTGGCAGTGAAAAAGGTTTTGTTAAGCCTGGTTTGTTGGAATTTCAGTCCAAAAGCACAAAAGAGTATCACGAGGCGATGACAGCTGATGTTTTCGATGAGTATTTTGTGCAAATGATTGAACACATACCACCAAATTCAATTATAGTATTAGATAATGCACCTTATCATTTACGACTAGTAGAAAGACTTCCGACTGCGTGGAAGAAACAGGATATTCTTGACTGGCTGCGGAATAAGTATCTGCCTTAGGCAGAACTTTTAAAAATTGCTTGGCAACACAAATCTAAGTTAAAGAAATACGTAGTTGACAAAATGGCGAAAAGGGGACACATCACAGTCCTTATACTTCCACCCTACCACTGCGAAATAAATCCAATTGAACTCATTTGGCACAAATGAAAAGTTATGTAGCTAGAAAAAATACGTCATATAAAATACAAGCTGTACGTGAATTGTTATACGAGTCTTTACAACACATTACAGAACAAAACTGGAAAGATGCAGTAAGAAGTAATAGAAGAAAAAAAATGTGGGATCTTGATAACATAATTGATGCGACCGTAGAGACACAACCGCTAATTATTAACCCTCAAGACGACTCGGATTCCGAAGTTGATATTATTTATTTTGAATTTGAATAGTTTTCTAATCGTAATTATATAAGGTAAGTAATAGTACTTGTAATCGTGAGGTATTAAAGGGGAAAGGCGCAAAATGTCGCCTGTCAAAATGTTCAATGTGTTTTAAATGTATCCATTTTTTTTTCAAATGCTGAGAAAACTAAAAAGCATTTTTGAAAAATTTAAAGGCAGAATAAATAAAAAGTTTCTTTTGCATGCAATATTTTCAATTAAAAATTATACTATATTTTCTCTTTTATTTTCACCCCTGTTACATAACATATTAAAATAATCATTGTATAAGTTTTCAGGGACTTTCTGCCCCCAGTAATAATGTAATCTTTCATTATGCATTTAAATTTTTCAAAAATATTTATTAGTTTTCTCCGGATTCGAAAATAATGGATACATTTAAAACACATTGAAAATTTTGCCAGGCGACATTTAGCGCCTTTCCCCTTAATTAAATAAATGTATCTTTTACGGATGGCAAGAAACTTTTTATTTTTGAATAAAATAAAGAAGTTTTAATAAAACAAAAATACAATTTAAAAAATATATTTATTTAGTTCAAATCAATAAATTTTTGACGTGATGAACTGAGAATGTCAATTGAAATGACATTCAATTGATATTCTCAGTTCATCACGTCAAAAATTTGTTGATCATTTTGATTTAACAAAAAGTTTATTGAGAACTAAACAAAATGCCGATTGAAAATTCAATTCAATGTTTCAATCATATACTCTACGACACTGGTCTGCCAAAATACCTTTATAATCGGATTATAAGGTTGACCGCTGTATTGTGTTACTGCAGATACAAGGTGGGTTAGTCGAAAACATCTTAAACCGTCAGTTTCAGGTTGGTTTTTACTCGTATATCGTATTACCTATCCTCTCTGTATTTCAGTTCTCTAATGACGATTAAACTTGTAGTGAGCTATTAACAAATTGTGAACCGAACTTAACTATTTCCAAACATTTATCCGTAGATACCACAGTACAGCCAAATCTAAAATTTCAAATTCCCATATAATATGTACATTCGTACTATGGCGCAACTTAAAACATCTAATGGCTTTGTGTTGCAGTTTACGTATAATGGTATAACATATTATATTCAACCATCTAAAATTTGTATTATTTGATCACAAACGAGTTGAAAACTCTAGAACGTTTATTATTTCAATGCCCGATTTACACACACATACACACACACACACACACACACACACACACACACACACACACACACACACACACACACATACACACACACACATACATACACCTACACACACATACACATACACACACTGATCAAAGCTGCCCCTAGGAACATGTGTATACCATTGTAAAGTAGGATCCACATATCCGAAGATCAAACCGGTCACACTTGTCTATTGAAGTGGTACCTATCTGACTTCCAGGATGGAAGTTAGGAATATTGTCAATATAATGGTAATGGTGCTTGATTCGTTTCAATTATTTGTAAACAATCTAAAACTATTATTGTTTTTCAAAAACAAGAAAATTTGAGACTTTATAAAGAAAATCAGACCAAAAAAACCTTTTAAGTATTGACAAAGCCATTTGAAAATGACCTTGGACCTCTCAAATTTATTTACAATAACTTTTTAGTTTATAAATATTATTTAATTTAAAAAATCTCATTTTAAAGAGAAAATATTTTCAAGAAAGTCATCTGTTAAACGTTTTTATCTAGCATGCGTATTTTTTCAAAATATTGAAATGAATGAAAAAAGTTTCTTTTTTTTTGCTGAAATTTCAAGACGAAGTAAAAGTTTATATAACCACGAGCTACACAGTATTAACAATCCTTAAAGAAGAAAAAGAGGTATTTAACAAACTTTGTTACCTTGCTCTTTATTGAGAAACAATCTCTTTTAGATCTAAACAATTGTGATATTTTCATCCAAGTAAAAAAGTCTATTGGTTTATCTAACTTTGTATTTTAATAGAGATACTCTGTGCTGTTTATCCAATTATGATCGTAAAAACATCACACAGCGTTTGTGCGAAGATTTTGGTTCCGAGCATTAGCGAATCCTTGAACGCCCAAACTGTGATGGGTCATAGCGTCAAAAATTAGTGTCGCATCAAATTGTTTATATTATTTTTATGTTAACCAGATATATTTACATTGTTGTTATGTTAACCGGTGTTATAGTGGTCTGAATATTAAATAACAAGGTATAATTTTATATAATATTAAATAGCGGATTAGTTGATTGACTGATTGCTTAAAATAATGATTTTTCAGGCTATTATAAATTACAGTATTTTCAAAGGAATTTTAAAAATGAATTATTTTCATAGTTTTTTTTTAATAAAAACATTTTATATTACATTGTAGCAGTGCTCATCTTCTTCCAGTTGTATCCAGTTTTTTTTTTTAATTTTCGTTTTTTTTTTATAAATGTTTTTTAAAGCTTTTTCTTTAATTACCATTTATTATATTCAAATTTTTTGTTTTATGTTAGTACTTTCTTAAAAAAAAACTATTTGTACTTTGTTAATCCAAGAGTTTGACACAATTCTCTTCTTCTTCTCAACTTCTTTTTCC